CTGCGGAGGGATGGGCGGCTGGATGCAGGAGCAGAGGGGAACACAGAGGGGAGAGAGATGGGAAGGAAGGACGGCACAAGGGGGAGGTGCTGGGGGGGGGGATGGAGGGATAGAGACAGAGATAGAAAGAGAGAGAGAGAGAGAGAGCGAACAACAAAAAGAACAACGAGAGAGAGAGAGAGAGAGAGACCAACACAGAAAGAGAGAGAGAAAGAGAGAGATGATAGAAAAAGTAGATGTGCCCGCGCCACATCTGGAGGAGGAGGAGGAGGAGGAGGAGGAGGCGGAGGAGGAGGAGGAGGAGGAGGAGGACGAGGAAGGAGGGAAGAGGGGCGGGGGCCGAGAAGGGGGGCGAATGAGGAGGCGGGGGGATTCGAACGACGGATTCGCTGCGCGGCGCGCGCAAGCGACAGCCGAGCCACCCCTGGACGAGAGCCAAATCCAACGCCAGACACAGCTGGTGCCCTCCCTCATCATCCCCCACTCATGCTGCAGGCACCCAACTTTCGCAAGAGGCTGCAAGGGGGAGGAGGAGGGACGAAGGGGGGAGGGAGCGAGGGAAGGCGAGACGAAGAGAGGAAGGGGGGGTCTTCTGTGGCAGCTCGTGGGAGCCTCCCAGCGAGGGTGTACAGGGCTGTCATATGTCCTACAGGAGGGGTCCGAAAAGAAGGGAGGGGGTATAGCTGGTGCAAGTAGGTCATACGTGACAGGAATGGAGACGCGTCCTGGAACAGAAACAGGCCCTGGACCTCCCAGAGGGCAACTCGTCATCCCGAATCGTGTCTGCCGACGGCCTGGGGGGCCCTGGGAGGGCACCAGGGGCCCGAAAACGCAAGCAGAGACAAGCAAACAAACACACAAACACTCACACACCAACAAACACACACACACACACGCAAACAGAGACAAGCAAACAGAGACAAGCAAACAGAGACAAGCAAACAAACACACACACACAAACACAACATCAAAAACACAAACAAACATCCAGAACCAACTCTCACGAGCGGCGAAGGTATCCACATCCACAACCTCGCGCGGTCTGGACTCCAGGGCGCGATCCTGTGGATACGCGGTCGCGCGTGCACGTTTCGCGCGGGGCATCGGCGAAAGAATGCTCCGTATCCACGGGGTCGCGGCCCAGAGGCCCAGCCCGCGAGGTCGAGGACACTGATACTTCTGTGCCATTCACGACATTCCGCCCAGGACCCCATTGTCATCATGCTGAGAGGGCCGCGGGAATCTCGGCTCGGTTCCGCCGACACCCTGCCGTGGAGGAAGACTCCTCCCTACTCTTACAAGCAAGTGCGCTCTGCAAATGCGCCCGGGGGACACGCTAACCCACGTCAGCGCTAACCTGAGCCAGCCAAGGCCGTGTCGCGAACCAGGGCTGGCAAAGAAGTATCTCCCAAACTCGGGTCAGCGGAAGGAGGGGGGACCATCGGCTGCAAGTGGCTCCCAGACCTGGGACATCCAGAGGGCGTCAGAGGGGACTGGCCAACACCCACTTCGGCGTCGAAATTTCCATCCCCGTCCCCACTGGGCCAGAGAAACGACCGACCCTGGCCTACCCCCAGGCAGGGACCCATGCCGCGAAACCCGAAGAAGACAGCATGCATCCAGGTCGGCCAGCGGGGCCCAAGCTTTCCCGTCGGGGATGGGGGCAGGACCGCCAGATCAGTCAGCATCGTATCGGGAAGCCGGATCGGACCGAGCTGGCCGAGATCCAGGGCGGGCCTCGCCACGCGAGCACTGGGCCGCATCTGGTGGACAGAAGATCGGAATCGAATTGGATCGGGCCAGCGGAAATCCACGTCGAATCGGATCTATCGGATCGAGATGAACCCTGGACTGGGGATGCTAACCGTTGGCGCTGACCCGGGTCATGCGCGCCCCGGGTGATGCCCTGACGCCCCTCGCTACGTCAGCGCTGGGGGGCCGTTCCAGAGCTTGCCGATGCCGCCGCGCCCCCCGCCTGTGGTCAGGCGCCGCTTCCCGCCACGGTGATCCGCCCGCCCAGCTGCAGAGGGCCCGAAAGGCACATGGCCGACTCCGGAAGAGCACGGTGCGAAAGTACCGACGTCTGCTTCCGAGAACGTCTAGGACGTCTAACGGTACGCGTCAATCGCTCTGTCTGCGGGACTCACTGTACACTGTTATCATTACACGTTGGGAGGTCACACTATTCTCACATACTGCCGTAATTGATTAAGGGCAGTCGGAGAGGGCACTCATTACTCCTTTCTCGGTGGCAAAATCAATGTTCAGCGTGCTGTGCAGGCCTCCGACCTGCCCGGGTGGCAGCGGGTGGCTGAGTAGGGTGGGCAGGAATGGAAAGGCGAAGCCCGAGCCCAAGGGGCTGCGGACGGGGGAGGAAAGGAAACGCAAGGACTTGCCCCCTCCAAGCACTCAATTCAAGGGTTCCACCCCCGAGCAAAACATAGTTCCACCCACCACCGTAAATGCGTAAAGGCCAGAGGGCAGAGCACTCATTTTCATGGTGGCAGAGTCGGTGTTCAGCGTGCTTTGCAAGCCTCCACTTACGAGTTTCTGTGGTGACAACTCCACAAATCTCACCTTATTCAAATGCCTCCAAGCCGAGGTGGGCAAGCTGCCACCCAGGGAGACTCGTAAAGCGGACCCGCCGGGTGAACTGGACCCCCTCGAGGGGGTCTAGTTCACCCGGCGGGGTCCAATCCACCTACCCTCAGGCGGCCTTCGCGCCAGGCGCCGTGGGAACCGTCGTGGGGGGGTCCAGCCAATGGGGGACAGGCGGCCAAACAATGTCCTCCAGTGCGGCGGCCATGCCCTTCGGCAGGGTCCCGTCCATCCTGGAGGGGTCTCTAGCTAAGACTCGGCCAGTCCTAGTAAGGCGGCCAGGCACACACGCAAAAGGTGGAACTGGCCTGCTGCAGAAGCCCGCACAACACGCTTGCTCCCCCCTCGCGCTGGGCGAGGCTCCTTCCAGGCACCCAGGCAGGGTGGGTCGCTCGCCGCACGCCTGCAATGCCATGCCGTGGCACTCGCGCTGCCCCCCCTGAAAAGTCTCGAGCCCTGCTCACCTGACCCTTCGCACGGGACTGGCCCACAGGAGCTGGGTCTCACCCCCGGCATCAGGAGGCGTTGGCCACCCGCCGATCCACAGGGTTAGGATGCTTCCTCCGCTGTGCTTGCGTCGCGATGGTGGCCCCACTCGGGGCTGCCCCGCGCTCGCTTCCCCCCCGCGGCGGGCGAAGCCCCCTTTCAGGGTCCTAGGTGGGAGTGGGTCGTCCGCATGCGCCGGCGCTGGCGTCAGTGCTGCGGTCGGGTGGGCGCTGCAGCTGGCGCTGTCGGCGGTGCCGCAAGCGCTGCCGCCGCTGGCGCTGCAGACGGCTCCGCCGTCGGCGTGGTCCTCAGGACCGCTATGGGCGCCGTCGTCTATGGGCGCCGTCGTCGGTGCCGCCGTCGGGGTCACCCAGGCTACTGTCGGGGCTGGCTGCTAGCCGCAGCCGATGTCACAGCCAGTGCTGCCGTCCGCGCTGCAGTCGGCTCCGCCATCGGCGCCGCCGACTGGACCGCTGCGTGCGCCGGCGTCGGCGCTGCGCGCCCCTACCTCGGAAATAGGGTTCCCGCCGGCCTCAACCCTGCAGGTCGCGAGGACCGCCGGCATCCGCCCTGGAGGTTGAGAGGGGCGCTGGTCTTCTCCCCGGCTGATCTCCGCCTCTGGGGTTGGGACAGTAGACGAACTTTGGGGGGGGGCCAGCTGGGGGTTCGCCGACGAGGCCGAGGTCGCCGCCGGGGCCGCGGGGCCCGGCGACGGCGTTGGTGATGACAACGCTGCTGGCGTCGGCGCTACCTCGCAGTAAACGCCCGCGTCGGTGGCGGCGTCGGTTCTGGCGATAATGCTGGTGACGGCACTACGGTCGACACTGGCAGCGGCTCCGCCGTCGGCGCTGCGGTAGGTGCCGGTATCGGCGCCGCCGTGGCTGGGGCGGCCTTCGGTGCTTGAGCCGTCGTGGCTAACGGCGTCGTCGTCGGGGCCGCCAACAAAGCCGTCGTCGGCGAGGCGGTTGGCGCCTGCCTGTCGGCAGTCGCAACGGTTGTCGATGCCGCAGAGGCTGCTATAATGAGCGCTAGCACGGGAACTGGCACTGGCACTGGCAACGGCGCTGCGGACGGCGCCGCCGTCGGCACCGCCGTAGGTGCTGCGGTCTCCGCCGTCCCTGGCGCTGCGGTCGGCTCCGCCGTCGGCGCCGTCGTCTGGACCGTCGTGGGCGTAGCCGTCAGCACTGCAGTCGGCGCTGCCCAGGCTGCAGTCGGGACGGCCAGCGGCAAGGCCGTGGGCGCCCGCGTAAGTGGCGGCGTCGGAGCTGGCGTCAGTGCTGGCCTCCGCGCTGCAGTCGGCGCTGGCGCCAGCGCTGCCGTCGGCGCTGTCGGTGTGGCTGGGGTGGACGCCGTCGTCAGGGCTGCAGTCTAGGCGGCCCTCCCTTGGTGCCGCAGTGGGCGACCGCATGGGCGTTGGCGTCTTCGCGGGCGTCGGTGCTGGCATCCGTCAGAAAGCCACCCACGGCGCTTTGGCCAACGCCTTCTGCGCTGCGCGGCCGTCGAGATGAGCGTCAAGGCGGCAGCTGGCGCACGCGCAAGAGCCGACCCTGACGCCAACGTCGTCCTCCGTTAGATAGGGGACTCTTAGATGGGGTCCGAGTAGATGGGGTCGAAGGATCGCACCGCATCGCTAATGCATCGCCGATGCATCGCCGATGCATCGCGGACGTCGGAGACGCATCTGCGACGTCGGCGTGGAGAACATCGGGCTCCGCATCGAACCGCATCGTCGATGCCTCTGCGATGCGGCGCGCTCCTCCGACCCCATCTAAGCTCCGACCCCATCCAGGAGGCCTAGAGATGGACCCTCCATCAGACCGCAGTGAGCGCCGCTGTCGGCGCTGTCGGTCGGCGTCGCCTGGGATCCCGGGCGCCCCCCAGAGCTGTGCGCTGCGAGTCGCTGCTGGCGCCGCTGC